AAAAAAAAAGAAAAGAAGGAACAGACATCTCTGCATAGAGGTACAGGCAGACTTTGAGCTCTCTGCACTGGTGCAACCTGTCTCCTGTCTGAGCACAGCACTGAAGAGCTTAGGTGTGTGTACATGGATTTGCCTGGAGATACCCTATATCTTCCCTTCACTGCATAGATCTGCCTGGACGTATCTCCTCTTGCCTGAATGGATCTGCCTGGACGTATCCTGTGTCTTCCTTTGTCATGTGGCGCTGCAGGACAAAGCAAGAGATGTAGCCTTTCCTGTTTACTAACCTGGGTGTGGTACATCAACTGCTCCTGGCCCTAATATTAGAAAAATATTTGGACTTGGGCCACAGGATGTGTAGCTACTCTCTGTGCTTGGTCAGTTAGATGTTTTCAAATATTCTCTGCAATATCACTCCAATTCTGCTCATAACCAATATTTCAATCCCCCCTGTTCAGGTGCAGGAACACTGCAGTGAATATTTACCATCTTTGCAAGCAGACAAGCAATTTTGAACAGTTGTATTTTTGAACACTGTTGTACTTTGCACTCCGTTGAAATAATAAACATTTGGCAAGTCTCACCATCTCTAAAACTATGGATAGCTTAAGGGAGGAACATTTCCAATGTGTTGATTATCATTTAGTGAACATAATTACTTGCAGTGTAATTGATTTAAAGGAGTAAGAATAGCTCAGACATCCAGGTTGGAGTTTTCTCATAATTTTTTTGTTGCTAATTTATTTTTCTTTTAGTCTTTCAAGGCAAACCAGAAATACATTTATGAAATGTATATCCTAATATAATTACAGAAGAGTGTACTCATTTCTAGAAAAGCTAATGCTGTCAATGTCATGTTTATTAACTGGTAATATAGGGATAAATCAGTATAATGATAAATCAATTATAATTATTATGAAGATCTACAGTCAAAACCAGACTATGGGAGTTTAGGGGTGGTGAAATTTTACTATGCTTTTTAGCATAACTACTTGTGCTTTGTTGATACTTTAGCACAGGCAGGTAATCCTGCATCCTGAGAGTACTTTGTACTCACCTTTAAAATCCATGAAAGAATACTGAATTTACAGAGGGCTACACACAGAGCTGCAGAGTTAAGCATGTGCAGGTTAATGGTCTAAAAATTTACTCTAAGATAGATAGCTCTGTAAAGATTTGTAATAAATGAGCGTGCCAGGTGAGGCCTGATCTCAAATGTTAAATATGATTTTCTGTTTTAGTGAATTATCTTTGAGGCTTTTAGGGAAGAGTGCATCCCAAGCAGGCATCTGAATGAAAAGTCATCATCTAAAAAGTGAAACAGCTTTTTCAGTTATAAGAAATTCCATTGAAAGAAAATTAAATAAAAATAAAAGAGAAAGCAAAAAAAGAATAGCTAAGCAAGATCACTAGATATGAGTTTTGCAGAATCTTCAGTATTTAAAAAATGTGTAGGAATTAAAAAATATGGAGGTAATTATCAGCTTTCAGACAAGTATA